CAGTCATCTATGAAGGTCACAAAGTACTTTTTCCCACCTCTAGTTTGTATATATTTTAAATCACATAAATCGGTGTGAATTAAATCTAGAGGTTTGTTAGTTCTTTCAACATGAGGTGAGGGTGTTTTTGTGAGCTTAGCCTGTACGCATACTTCACATTTTTGTTTACTTGTTTTACATTTTGGGATTAGATTTAGATGCATTAATCTTTGTATTGATTTGTAGTTCACATGGCCTAATCTTTCATGCCAAATATTAAAAGACTCAACCAAATAAGCAACTGGCTCTTTCTTATTCATTGAAACTTTTGGAGCTACAACTTTTGGAAGGACTGTCATTACATTCATTTTGACCAGTCCATCCTTAACATACCCCTTTCCCAAATACACCCCATTCTTCCTAATCACAAGCTTGTCCGCCTCAAGAGATGGCGAATCCATTCTTGCTGAGCAAGGTTCCCGAAACCAAGTTCTTCCTCATGTCAAGCACATGCTTCACATTCTGCAGAGTGACTTCACGTCCAGATGTCATCTTCAGAATCACCTTGCCGTGGTCTTCAATCTTGGAGACTGCTTTGTTCCCCATGAACAGCTTCTCCTGAGTCTTGCTATTCTGATAAGTGCTGAACATCGTCCTATCAGTGCAAATGTGGGTGGTGGCACCAGTATCATACCACCAATCTTTGGGGTTGTTGTTTTCAACCATGTTGACTTCAGTCACCACTACAACGAGATCTTCCTCCGTGAGATTCACCTGGGTCTTCTCATCTCTGATCTTGCTGCGACACTCATTAGTCTTGTGACCATTTTTGTGACAGTAGTGGCACTTTCCCTTGAATTTCTCCACATTCTCATTGTTTTCATTGCCTTTGCCTTTCTTCTTGAAGTTTGGTCCAGAAACCTTCAAGTTTGCAGCTGTCTTGGAAGGCTTGGCAGGGGAGTTAGAAATTGCCTTTCCTTTACCTTTCGTTTCAGCCACATTAACACTGTGCTCTTTAGCTTCGAGCTTGTCATTCTTTCGGTTTCTGGCTTCCATCTGAAGCCTCCGAATGAGATCCTCAAGTCCCATCTTCTTCTTTTTGTGCTTC